CAGGAATGGGTTTTTTTCATCAAAACTTCAACTAAAACTCCTCACTTTGATACACAGAGAGTCCTGAGTGTCCCAGAGTCGGGTTTCTGTAAGGGCACAGGTGACCTAACCCTGCCCCTCTGCCAAGGGCTCCTTGGGGTATGTGAGGCTCAGGCTCAACCCCTTTGGGATCCATCAGAGCACAGTCCATGCACCCACAGCACCAGAAGCTGTACGTACCCGTTAGAGCCCGACCCCCTCATCAATGAATCCGATCACTTCTCTCTTTCCTCAACCATGTCATGAATTTCATTACCAACAACTTAAACACTCACCTTGTTCTAAAAGAATGAAGCATCTGCCCTGTAACAACCACCTGAACCTGATCTCGCTACATCCTGCTCCACCCCACCTCATCTCCTGGGTTAAATCTGGCTCCTAGATTAGAAGATTTGGGGTTTTGGTCCATGTTGGAGTGAATATTTTAGAAACCTTAACGTGTTTCACAAACCAGGACACTCATTCCTTAATCTAAAGAACAGCTGTGCTGGCCAAACATCCTGAGCCCGACACCTCCCAGCAGTTCTCGGAAGCAGCCCTCGCTAATTCACGTTCACAACACAAACCACCCTCTGCTAAATCCAATGTCACTGCAGCGTGCACTTGTCTTTATCAGAGACAGGAATCTGCTTGAGGAAAGACACTGAAGTTTCTCCCCTCTCCTCTCTCCTGCACTTCTAACAGCCGTGGGGATGTCGCACGTGTCCTGTGACCTTCCACCGCGTCCTGGCTGGCGTGGCAGAGTGCAGCATCACCACTGTGGGCTTCATACAAACCTCTGACCGTGCTCCTTCTGCACCTCGGAAACGCAGCTCACACAAGCAGGAGTAAAACAGGTTGCAGGGTTAAAGCAAGAGCACACACATGAGCACACACACTCCTAACTGATACAGAACCTCCTGGGGACCAGTCTGTGCCCTCTGAGCTGAGATTTATCTCTCGATTCCAGGAATGGGAACAGCACCTCACTGCAGGGGCAAACTGTGCTTCGGTTCAGTCAACGCCAAGGGAGCGACCGCTCTCCTCCTGCCTTTTATGGTGTCTGGCATTAAGACAAACTTTCAAGCAAGCTGCTCAACATCACCTCCACAGACAAGCTTTAGACTGGAAATAAACTGAGAGGAGGTGTTCACAGCTCAGTCCCCACAGTGTCCCCTGCTCTTGTCACAATTTCACTCATTTCAGCTGGGGAAGGGTCTGGAGCACAAGTGTGCTGAGTTCCCTTGTGGCTGAGGGAACTGGGGGTGTTGAGCCTGGAGAAAAGGAGGCTGAGGGGAGACCTTGTGGCTCTGTGCAAGTCCCTTGGAGGAGGGTGGAGAGAGGAGGGAGGGGGGTCTGTTCAACCAAGGCCCAAGGGACAGGCCAAGAGGAAATGGGCTCCAGTTGTGGCCAGGGCAGTTGAGATGGGCTGTGAGGAAGAATTTCTTTGCTGAAAGGGTTCTGAGGCATTGGAAGGGGTTGCCCAGGGCAGTGGTGGAGTCCCCATCCCTGGAGGGATTGAAGAGTCGTGTAGACACAGTGCTGAGGGACATGGGTTAGTCGGGGACTTGTCAATGTTGGGTTCATGGTTGGACTCGATGATCTTAAAGGGCTTTTCCAATCCACTACAATTCTGGGATTCATTTCCAGTCATATCAGAGCTGTTAGGAACATCTGCACAGAGCTAGAGATTTCACCACCCAGGGAAAGGTGTTCAGGCCTTGGCCACCTTTACCCCAAGACACATCAAAGCCAGCTCCAGCCAGGCCTTTTCTCCTATCCAGGAGTCACAAACTGCTACAGTTGTGTGTTCCTTCTAAATCCCCTCCAAAAAATGGGAATCTCACACCACGTCTGAGATGTGAGTTTCCAAATGCCAGAACACCACGTGCTGAATCCAGCTACTAACCTCTGCGCAGCAAAGGGATTTAACCCCGCGATGGAGGAGAGCCGTGCGGGACGCTGGGCCCCTAAGCTCTCCCAGATCCCACTGCTGCCTTCAGCTGTGGCTCCTCTCAGCGTGCCTGGACACCATGAGCTGTGCTGGAGGCTGGAGAGAAGCTCGGCCTCCCTCCAGCAGCGCTCCAAGGGATTATCATCACCGCTCCCATGGCTGCATGGCTGGGGCTGGACTCACACAGGCAGCAGCTTGTTACGCTTCCCTGCAGCCACTCCAAAACAGATGACAATCTGGCTTTGAAGTTCTCTCCCATCAGTAAAAACTGAAGAAATGTGATTTACCTACAGCGTGGAGTATCAGCTCCTCAGGACTTGTAAAGATTTGGGCAATGAGAAGACCTGTGCTCAGAACAAAGCTTTTATCCCCACTGTCTTGGCCTGTGTTAAACCAGCCTCCTGTTAGTCCAGGCTCCAGCCTCCTTGAAGCTGCTCCTCACAGCCTCCATAGCATCTCCCTATCCCTCCTGCATCTTTTATGGATGAAACTGTCTGCTGGGTCCAACAGCCAAAGGAAGCTTTGCTCAGGGAGTCTGGCTGAAGTAGGCTGCACCTGACATCTGTTACAGATTTCAAACGAAAGCCATTTTAAAATGGTTTTTCCACCCAGGATCCAGTTACCAGTACTACAGAGTGGCACCTGGACGCTGCTGTGACTTGCTAACTCTGCTTCAGAGGTTGTATCCACATGATACTCGCTGAAAAACATCTGCAAGTCAGGCAAAAACCCATCTAAAACCAGTGCAAACCACCTCCTCCTCCTTTGTTCACCTCCTACTCTATCTGCCCACTTCAAGGCACTGTTGCACACTCACCCTCACAGACACCATCCTTCCAAGAGGTTTGTTCATAAACATCCAGCCTTTCTTTGCTTGTGGGTTTTGGTGGTTTGTGGGCAGTGAGGAGCACTGATCTCCAGGGTGCTGGAGGGCTCTGAGGGGGTCTGGTGCTGCTAACACCCTGCCCAACCGCTGCTTTGATTTATCACATCCCCCAGGAACTGTGTGTGATCCTGAGCAACTCAGGATGCCGAGGAGCGTGGATGCAGTGGAAAAGCTCTGCCTTGGCTTGTTGTGGGTCCAAAGTCCACTCGGTGGCAGCATAAGACAAATAAGAAGCGATTCCACCAGCAGCTGCCTCTGCAACCACTCAGCTGGGTCCCTCCTCTCACCTTCTTTACTGGGTTTTGTGGAGGAAGCTGCAAGCTGCCTGGCTGGTGTGATCCCTGGGCTCCACTGTAAAGCGCAGGCATGACCTGCAAGCAGGTACGGTAGTCTGGGTAAGATCCACCTGTAGATTCCTAAACGCAGAACGGGATCCGTGATCAACCAGAAGTGGAAAGAAAATAGGTTTAATAATTCATTTTTACTTGCTATAATAATGAGCACTCGGCAGATCTGAAACTGAGTCAGGCTCAGTTGCACAAAGGAGTGTACAATTCCCAGCAGCTCAGGCATGCAGCGATTCCTTCAGCAAAATGTAGGATATGTGTCCAGTTCTGGAGCCCTCAACACAAGAAAGACATGGACCTGTTAGAATGAGTCCAGAGGAGGCCACGAGGATGATGCGAGGGCTGGAGCAGCTCTGCTGTGAGGACAGGCTGAGAGAGTTGGGGCTGTGCAGCCTGGAGAAGAGAAGGCTCCGGGGAGATCTTATAGTGGCCCCCAGTACCTGAAGGGGCTCCAGGAAGGCTGGGGAGGGACTTTGGACAAGGGCAGGGAGTGACAGAGCAAGGGGTGATGGCTTGAAAGTGGCAGAGGGGAGGTTTAGATTAGATATTAGGAAGAAGTTCTTCACTGTGAGGGTGGTGAGACAGTGTCCCAGGTTGGCCAGAGAAGCTGTGGCTGCTCCTCCCTGGAAGTGTTCTCGGCCAGGTTGGATGAGGCTTTGAGCAACCTGGTCTAGTGGAAGGTGTCCCTGCTGCTGGCAGGGGGGTTGGAACTGGATGAGCTTTAAGATCCCTTCCAACCCCAAACCATTCCATGATTCTATGATTTGGGGGATGGTTTACTTTACAGAATTCCTTAAAAAAAAGAAAGTGTGCTCCTCGCTGGTCACAGAAACCTCGGGCGATATAATGGCCTGGGCAAGAAACAATCCTTCAGTGGACTCACTGGGAAATAACAGTATGGCTGTTTCTCAGGAGGAGTATTTTAATACACTCCTGAACTTTACAGGTAACTTCAGATTGTGAGATTTAAGAGAGAGGAATATTTATGCCAGATCTAATCAAAAGCATGAGTATGAATCCTGGAGAGTAACTGTGCAGGGATGCTCTGCAGAAGGTGACCATGCAGTGCTGCCCGTCCCGTGCTCTCCAGCCCCTTACTCCTGCAGTACCGACCGCAGCAGCCACTATCAATGAACAAAGCAGGGATCCAGACTCCAAAAGCACCTTTACAGCTGATGGAAGTAACAGCCAATGGAAGAAAATGAAATTATTTCTCACCTCAGAGGCTTCATTTTCAAATTCCTCGACTCTTGCCTGGGTAGAGTTATATGCCTGAGCATAATGCTGATACCACTGCTGAGCAGCCTCCTATAAAGGAGGAAAAAACCTCTTCCCATTAGCTGTCTACTAAGATGACTTTAAATGAAAACAATTCTGAACAGCCTTACTGGACATGAGAATGAAGAAAAGGCAAAGCTCTCCAAGAAGCATCACAACATGTTTAACACCAGTGATAAAGCTCCAACCAAACATTTAAAACTACGTTAAGTGCTTAGAAGATACACAAGGCACCAGCATCTTGGCAGTGGACACAAGTACGATGTCATCTCTGCTACATGGAAGGAACAGGCAGTACAAATACAGCTGAATGATGACATGTGGCATCATCTCTGCACCCAAGTGACATCATTTGAGTCCCTCATATTACTGAAGGTAATACTAGCAATGCTAATACTACAGTACTACTCATTTTTTTGGACAGTATTTGAAGGATTTGGGGTTAGGAACTGCCTCCAGGAGATATCAAAATGAATTTAAAGCCAATATTCAAGATTCAAAGCAATATTCAAGACTATGTCAGTACTTACAGGAAACACCCAGCACAACAGCCCACAGGACATCTCTCTGGCTTCTCTAGCCCACAGCTGCCACCAGATCTGACCTGACTAGCAGATGGGTCTGACCCCTGGCAAAGCTCCCTGCTGCAGCCACCGCCGTGCAGTGACCCCGTCCCCTTCATCCCTCTTGGCCCTGCTCAGACCCTCCTAACACAACACAGGCCCCGTGCCCACCCATGCGCCTGCTCTCAGTCCTCCAGACCCAACCAACTCCCACAGCAGCCCTGCTCTACCCCAGGAGTTCTGCAGCAACACAGATTTCCTTGCCAAGCAGCCTAGGAGAGCAGAGCACAGCTTGTTTCTGTCTCCCTGCCTCAGGAAAAGAGATCAGGAGACTCTGGGGAGGAGGTGATGGGGACAGGGCTGGAGGAGACCTACAGCAGAGCCAGGGTGGGTGTCTCAGCGCAGACCCAAGATTTTTACACAGATTACCTGATGGCACTACAGTCCAGTATTTGATTTGTATACAATTAAATTGCTACACAGACTAGTGATGGCTAATGAAAACATGGAAATGTTATTTCACAGTGTCCCAATGCCTGGGAAACCCAGTACTTGCTCTCAGTAGTGCAACACTCTCCAGACGAGGCACAGCCCTCCACCTTAAAGGTCATGCTCTGATCACCAAATGGGGCAAAATGTGACGAAATCCCATGCAGCAAAACCAGCTGGCAGACTGCAAAAATTCCCCAAACGATACAGGAACTTCTGGTAGACAGAACACACTCTTCTCTGGGATTTAGCCAAAGTTTGAGAAAACTTTAAAACTTCTTGGGAAGGGAAAGATAAAAAACTTCATGGTTTTGAAGACAGACAAAAGCCAAGCTAGATGTGATGAGAAGTAATTTTTTAGCTGACTACAGTGAATTCTGAAGAAGTAATCTTTCAATGGTTCTGGTACTGCTGCAGGGAAAGTATTGAGGCTTTTTTCCACTGGCATTAGGCGTCTGTTGGGCTTAATCTAGTCTGTGCACTGAAAGAGATAAACTATCAGTGAAGAGAACCTTCAAGGACCTTCAATCTGAAGAAATGGGTGGGCTTTGCTTGTCAGGAAGCCTAGGAACCACTGAAGAGTGGTTCATGATGTTGGGCAACACTGTTCCAACTGCATCCAGGGCTATCAGACCACATGTGCACCAAGAAATGTATTAAGAATACACAGAGAAAAAATAATGAGAAACTCAGGGAGGGGAACCTCTGAGCAGATCTCTGCCAAAAATCCTGCTACCAGAGCTCTGAGGGTCAAACCAGGTTTTAAAAGAAAGGGCCGCAAATCAACGTACCTGTGTGTATTCCCCATGCTGCTGAGAGTAATTAAAATAATTTTCCATTGCATGTTGTGATGTAGTTCCCTGAGACACAGCAGCATCCACGATGTTGTTGGGAAGCCCGGTCTGCTGTGGAGGACTAGAGGCTTTGCTGGCAATTGCTGTTCATAACACAAAGAATACAGGGTTTGTATAAACTGCATAAATTAGGTTACACTCATGTTTAGCAATGTTCTGAGATTACAACAGGAATTTCCTACTTCAGCTTAGGCTGTGCTCAAAATTAATCAGTGCTACTCTACTAATAACTGAAAGGCTTTCTAGAAGTTTGTCTACATTAGTGAGCCTGTATAACTCTGAAAATTTATCCTTCCCAATTAGAGTTGGGGCTGTTCAGCCTGGAGAAGAGAAGGCTCCAGGGAGATCTTATAGCGGCCTCCCAGTACCTGAAGGGGCTACAGGAAAGCTGGGGAAGGACTTTTCATAAGGGCAACTAATGACAAAACACAGGGAAATGGGTTTAAACTGAAAGAGGGGAGGTTTAGATTAGATATTAGGAAGAAGTTCTTCACTGTGAGGGTGGTCAGACACTGGAACAGGTTGCCCAAGGAAGTTGTGGATGCCCCCTCCCTGGAAGTGTTCTCGGCCAGGTTGGATGAGGCTTTGAGCAACCTGGTCTAGTGGAAGGTGTCCCTGCTGCTGGCAGGGGGGTTGGAACTGGATGAGCTTTAAGGTCCCTTCCAACCCAAACCAGTCTATGATTCTAAAACATTAAGAACAGGTTACATCATTGCAATTTTAAGACAGACTACAATATTTCATTAAAGAGAAATGCTGTGGTAACTGGAATTACTTGCCAAACAGAACAACAATTTGCCACACTCTGGTCAAGGAAAATTGCAACTAAAACCACTGATTGTTTGCTAACCTGGAAGACATATACCAGGCAACACACTTGCCAAATTCAAGTAGGGGTTGGTACTAAGACGGATTTCTTTTGGTGGTTCTCCTAGCAGCGAAGTCTGTTTTTTCAAGGGAGTCTGAAAAACAAAGGGACGGGTCAGTGTGTGTTATATTTACACAATATTCATCCAAAATAAGGTAAGTGACCCAGCAGGATTTCGAAAAAAAGCTTAGCCCTGTGAAATGTAACAGGAAAACTTTGAAAATAAATACTGGGGACAACTGGCTGGACACATTGTCTCTAATTTTTAATTTTTTTTTCAAATAATTTTGTAGGAATGTTTCTCTTTCGACTATAAGTTACTAAAGGATATTTTTAAAAACCAAACAAACAAAATAAAAGCTTTTACATTCAGGTAAAGGAATAATAATCACTGTAACGACTCCAGATGCAGGGAGTGAGCATTAAGTACATGGCCAAGACAAAAACAACTCTTGTCACCCAGAGTCACAGGCACCTAAAGGACAAAGGAGCCCTGGAGTGGAGAGATGACACTGTCTGCAATCTGCTGTTACAACACATCTTCCTTGTCTTGTCAAGGAAGTGATTTTTGCAAACTGTGCCTCCTGTCTGCTGATGCAGAAAAGGAAACAATTAAAATATCCACCAGGATTTAAAAAAATAACTTTTCCTGATAAAGAATATTCGTAGAAATAAATCAGTTATCTGGACTTCCAATGGTTTAATTCCATTTCCTTTTAACTAAATGAAATGTGGAAATAAAACACTGGTTTTATAGATGTTTACAGATACACTCTATGTATTTTATCCATATATACATCAGTAAAATTCCACTTCATCACAGTAAAAAAATAGTTTAAAAATGGAAAGTGTACTTTCTGAAGTAAAAATCTAACATATAATCTAATAATTTCAGATGCTTCAGAAAGTATGCAAGGAAAATACAGATCTGACCTGAATTAAGAATGTTTCCACCTAAATATCAAAGTATTTATGTATATTATTAAAAAAAGTAAATTCTGTAAATGACACAAAAAAACTTCTGAAAAAATTAGACCCTTCTGGTTCAACTTCAACGTCATCTCATCACCCTCCCACCCCCCACCTTCAAAGGAATAAATATAAAAACTGATACAGACTAAGAATATGTCAGCTATGGTTAAAGAAGGTACAAATTAAAAGCAGAAAATTTACATACACACACACACATATATATATATATACACATACACACATCCCTCCCACCTGGAAAACCAAAGGCCCTACATACCACCAGAATTGTTTCTGATTAGTCATGAAATTCAACCACAAGTTCAATTTTCAGTCTTGAAAAGGGACATTGCCCTTGAGATAATTTCATCATCAAATACTATGAGGCAAACACATGGAAAAAGAAACCCTCCAGCACTGTAAAAAGCTTCCTTTGTTAATTCATTTAGACCACCAAAGAGCATTATTGTTCTCTCCCTATTATTCATAACTGAAATGACCTTAAAAAATGTCTCACAAATGATCCTATGATCTAGCAAATTTTATAGTGAAGAGCTACAATAAGCAGTTGCAGTTAACTCTTAAGCATGTTAAAATAAAAAAGGAGAAAATCCACTCACAAGGAAAAAAGAAAATAAAATATGTGTAGTCCATGTTCCTTACCCCCAAACTCGTATCAGTACTTTTTAGTTGATTGTGTTGTTTGGCATGTCCAGCCCGCAAAGCTCCAGCAGGAAGATTTGTTAAGGTCTGATGATAAGGCTGTGATCCCGAGACAACCGCTTCGGCCGTCGATTGTTTATCTGGAGCGTTATTTTGCCCTGGTATAGCTTGTCCAACAATGTGCTGATTGGGAAAGAATGGCAACATGCCCATCCCTGCTGCTGCTGCTGCTGCTGCTGTTTGAATTGGAGTCAGATTAGATGTTGCAGTCAACCATAAATGGAGAAACTTTGCTGTTAGACAAGATTTATCAGTTCATTTTGTTTGTGGTTTTTTACTAAGTGATGAGAAAAACATTGAGAGATCTATTTTACAGCTGGCCCAGAACACTGGATTCTGATGATAGTTTTTATTCTTTTACCATCCCATGAGTAAACAACTCTATTTAAATCTAATACAATAGAAGAAAACTCTGACTTTTCTAAACATTCATTACGATAATAAGTTATTTAATGTTTCCTGAAACTTTCAAAAGACCTGTGAACAACATCCTAGAAGATCCTGTATTGAATAGACAGGAAAAACCCCACCTCAAGTGGCATTAGTAAAATTCTTTTTACAAACAAAAGAGATAGAAAGTATTATCCAAAATTAAAATCTAGACATTCACAATAGGTTTCTTCCCCACCAAGCCCAAGCTTTTCCTTGCTCCTGGTGACTACCATTACTCAGAGCACATCCAGAACTGCAGAATACAAGGCTCTCAGTGGAGGAAACAAAAAAAAACCATGCACTAAGCAGTAACTGATCTTTCCTCATAAAAACTAAGGACATCACTGGCACAGAAATTTGCATTCAAAATTGACATCCGTCACAGACTGGTTGTTAAAGCTCTATTGCTTAATTAAATGAACATAAAAACCCCTATTTTTGGTGCCTCTTCAGCTACTCAAATTAATCTGCTTTGAAACAACCCCCCCCCCTCCAAATTTTGGTCCTAAATAAAACCACATTCCAAGTGTACTAAAAACGGGAGTAACTGAGCAAGCAGAATATTTAACAACCTGCAAATACTTAACCAATGCTGCAGTGTATTCTTTCTTCCCTGACAGATGAGAGAAGCCAGGTGACAAAGCAAGGTATTTCGAGTTTGTTTCCTGCTTAAACCAGCAGGTTACAGTTGGTTTTATAGCTATATAACTTGTTACCTTGCTTAACTATACAGCTATATAACGTGCATTATTGTCCAGCTCTCTGCCTGCCTTACTGTGCAGTGCTAAGGTTCAAAGATGTTATTGCTTTTGTTACAGGGTGCATCATTTCAAGCAGAGCATTTCTACTGATTGGGTAGGAAATCAAATGTCATTTACACTTAAGTGCTTCTCCACGGGTTCCCATGCCTGAGCTCACTGATGGCATTACCCCTATTCCCAGTACTGTCTGAAGCAGCATTGTGGGAGGTTCTCCCAGCAAACCAGGTTTCTGTAAGGAAGAATAGAAAACTGTGTCAATGATTAAAGTCATCTGTCTGTAGCTATTTCTTATAACTTTCACATTCAATACACTAAACTGTTAAATTATATTAGATTTAAAAGAACAAATTATTTGTTTTAGCAGTTATAAGAATATCCAAAGCCAGCTGAAGTGATGACCTTACACTATTAGCCTGAATGTTCTCAATCTTCATCAGCTGCTGCTGTGGCAGTGGTAGGTGCGCAGGGCTCTGCAGCAGTAAGTTAGATGTACTCCCCAGAATTGAACTCTGAAATTAAGAAAAGAAATGTTAGTTGACAGTCATGGAAAGCAGTACATTCTTGAAACTATTTCAGATGATACTGCTTAAAGAAATTTAAATTGGTTAATACAGCAAAGGAAAAGATTTCTTTCATAAAACTAAATTTTTGCTTCATTCATAGAAAGTTATTTCAAGTTCTTTTAACCTCTCTTCCACCTAGCCCTTTTTTTTTTTCACCTCACAGCCACCAGTACGCTTTCAAAGGATCAAGAGTATACTCTAAATACAATCCAGACTCCATTGCAGCCCTTGTGCATAAGCCAACAGGGAAAGCTAAATGTGTTTGAAGCCTCTGCAGTCAGACTGGATAGGGGAGTTACCTACCGTGCCAATAAGAAAGATGAGACACGAGGACTTCAGAGGATTACGAGCCCTACGGATAAGGACTCCTTTTTTTGCTAACATTTGCATTGTAATTCTGATACATAATCTCTGCCAAGTATCTCCACAGTTTACAGGACTCGGCTGTAACCAGCAGGGACTCTCATCCCTTGCTCTACAGTTACCAAAGGGTATCTTTATCTTCAAAGAGGAATATCCAGATATGTTTTTCCCTCCTTTTTTAGTGGCAACCATCTACATGAAATTCTATTCCAGAAGCATTCAAAAGCTGACAAATCTCAGTGCCTACAGATTTCTGAGTCTGTAAAATATTAATATTTTTCATTTAAAAATTCTGGATCCATTTGCCACCAGAATTGAGCCACTTCATTAACAACTCTGGGGCACCACGTTCAGACTCTGCTACTAGTATATTCAGCATTAGGTGCTCTAGCTAGCACAGTGGCTTAAAAGAAAACTTATATCCTCTCTGGATCACAAAACCATGTTATGATTCATGCTAGCTGAACAGAGACTTCAAACTATCTTTCTGGCAGCAGCTCCTGAGCATGATTTGCCAGGCAAAATATAGGTTGCTCTGTAAACCTTCCTGTACTGCAGTGTAAGAATAGATATAAAGGACACTGACTGTGTCAAATCACAAGTACAGTCCTCCTCATTTTATTTTTTTTTTAAATCTCCTACATAGGAAAGATCACCAAAACCAGGTAATGAAGATGGAAACCAAAAAGAAGCCAGCTCTCCTGATGCATGGCTTTGCAGATTTCACAGCCTCCTGCAAAACACCTCACAAATATTTTCAAGCCTAGGTTGTATCTGTGTGTGATAGGGTCAAATTTCCCTAGGGAAAACCCTCTATGACTATAATATAGTCTTCTGGACTCAGAAATGTGCAATATAAAACAAAAAGGGTCATATCTAGATTAGTTATGCATCTGCTATTTTAATTGTCTTGGTGATTTCCAGTAGAAATTATCCAGGGCTGTTTATTGTCACCAATACCAGTGGTTGTTCCTTCTAAACTTGGTTTAAGTCAACAAAGAAAATGAATTAGTTCAGTTGCAAAACCTTCAGAAATATCAGAGTGGAAAATCAGGTTGGTTAGAACCCTCAAAGAAAGTTTCTGGGTTAATAAAGATTTAATAAACTGCTGGATGACTCAGGAAAACACATCACTGAGAAAGTTTAAAATGTGTTGCTTTGGCACATGATAACTGTATCAAAGAGAAATTAAAAGAAAGAAATTGAAAGTCATGCTACCTCCAAGAGCTGAAGGACTACTGAATTAATAACCCATTTGTTCAAATTCCCCTCTGTTGAATCTTTTATTATCAATTATTTTATAGTGTTGTGGCATAATCATCCTAAAAATACTGTTTTTTTTCTCATTATATTACTTTACAAAATCTTGAATATAAAAAAAGCAAAACCAAGATACACAGGAAGTTGAATCAGCGTGTGACTGGGGAGGTGGGGAGAGAGTCAAGCCAAGACACTGTCTGTTCCTCTATCTTGTGACAATACTGAATTTCCAGACAACAAAAAGTGACCTGGTTCTCTGGCTTTAGAGAATACTCTGAAATAAATCACTGAATAACAGAACAATGTGCCTAATAGAAGGAACTGGGATAATCAAATCACTGTCAATAAAATTCAGGCTATTAGACCAGGTTTGGAGCTAATTAAATGAGGGGAAGCTCCCTGGAAGAGAATTAAGACTTCTAAGTCTCTCTAAAGAGAAAACACTAAGTTGTTTGACCACAGCACTCTTCAGCCAAAAAATATTGGATCATCATCAATCACACTGCTAAACTGTGTAAAACATGCTCGTCTCCAGCTGCGAGCAGAAAACATTCCCATTGCCTTCCAAGGAAGCAAAGACTCCCCAAGACTGAAGAGAGAGCAGCAGTAACTAAATAAACCAATTGAAAATGTCATTTAAATAAAAGAAGTACAAGCAAAGAATGATGTATTCTTTCATTTTACAGGACAAAACCAACTCATTTGATGGGGCAAAATTAAGTAGTAGTTATGCAAAATGAATATATTCACCTACCAGCTTTTAGAAGGAAAAAAAAAAGGTAAATATACTTGGCACAAGGAGTATCTCTGCATTTTAATTCAGTCTTTTTAAAGATCTATAAGTCTGTGTTTGCCAAAAGAACAGTAGAAATAACTACTAATATTTAAGGGGATTTTATTTTTTAAATGTGAATTTTTGAAAAATCAGAAAGGGTAAATTAAAACAACTGATGCCAGCCCCTCGTAGGTAGTTATGAAAATCCCTGCCATGAATATTAAAGGCAAATTTTTGCTCTTGGCAGAGCCAGAGAAACCTCTGACAGAATCTCAAAACAAGGCGGAGGCCAGGCAGGCTGCTGGCCAAGTGCACTGCTGCAGGGAGGAGTTCTGGTTGTGGGTGCTGCTCTAGCACATTCTCAATTTCTAGGGCAAACTCATCCCAAATATTCTATCCCAAACTCACACCCAAATTATCTTTCAGAAATTCTGGTGTCCATCTGGAACTACAGATACTCTGAGCACACTTTAAACAGCTTATAGCTTTGGGTTTGGTTTGGTTTTGGGGTTTTTTGTTTGTTTGGGTTTTTTTAATTAAGAAATAACATCTGCAAATCACTATTTTTTATGTCACATATATCACATTTTGGTCCCTGCAAGCTTTAAAATTAAGATAATGATGCTAAGCTTGTTAGTTTGAATAAGATAAAACAATCAAGTCTCTACAGGAAGTGTGTATGAGTAGCTCCAAAAGAAATGGATGTTCTGTGCTCCTCAAGCTCTAATTAAAAGAGGATATTTTTTTTTGCCAATAATGGCAAGTTGTCTCTACATTGGCAAGTGTTAGCAAATCAAAAGCTCAGTTAAGATAAAATAACTCACTTGTGGATAGTAAGCACAGTCTGCTCTTACATACCCATAGGCACTTCATAATAAGAGTGCTTTTCTTAAAGACAGCTTGAGCAAGAACACTTGATTTTAGCTCTAATTTCTTAAAACTGAGAATAATTTCACGCTAAGCTCTCCACAAATACCTATTTTGACAACAGTTATTTTGTCACATACCTGGTGAACTTTATTCAACTGCAAAAAAGGTGGGCCAACTGCTGAATTTATAAGGTGAGTTAAACCTGCAGATGCTCCAAGAACTGCTTTAGAAACACAAGAAAAAGTTGCAGCGTTTTATAAGTTAGGCAAGTAAAAATCTTTATAAGATTATTCTAGATCTATATATTCTAGTCTAAATCTTTATAAGTTATTCTGTATTTTTTAGATTTGGTTTCCATTAAACTTTCCAGTGTACTAAAGGTCACTATAATGAAACTTTCAATACAACCAGCTTTGATCTGCAATTAACAGCGTATGAAAGATCCAGCGTACTCCCAGTGTGCTCCTCTGAAGCTGAGAACTTCACTCAAAGACACCGAAACGCCTGCAGGTGATTGCAAGCCCAGAGCACTATCTGAAGTGCTTTCAAAAGTCAGCATTAGCTGAAGTGTTTCTTCACTAAAGTGGTCACTTCACACAACTTCTGTGTATCTTCTGGCCACAGACTGTCACAAACTCTTTGCTGTCCCCAACTTAACACTTCCAATTATCTGTTCTTGTTCCTGTTCCTAATACTTCCACCATTTGACATGTGCTAAGTTTATTTTTCATATGTTTATTCACATTCATCATAATGAGCAGACAGAGAAATGTCTTTGGATAATGCTGTTAGGAAATGCTGTCTTAGCATCCAAGTGAATAATGATTTACATTGGAATCAAGAGGAGAAAGATTCAGACTGCCAAATTCAGATCTAGCATAAAATTTAAACTTGCTGTTTTAATGATGTCTGCAAAAGACATTTCATTTTAAACCCATTTCTCACATAAACATTCAAAGACCACAGAGTTAAGATGAGGTCATTTTTAGGTAACACTAAATTCTACCCAAACGCAAGAGCGTTGCAATTCACCTCTTGCTTTTGCTTTCATGAAACATAAAAGTGTCTACACAAACACAGTGAAACAGTGTCTGCACAGATTTTAAAACAGCATTCCTGCGCCTCTCCTTTGCTGAAAGCCTTGTGTCACCAAGAACACTGGAACAGGTTGCCCAGGGAAGTTGTAGATGCCCCCTCCCTGGAGGTGTTTAAGGCCAGGCTGGATGAGGCTTTGAGCAACCTGGTCTAGTGGAAGGTGTCCCTGCTGCTGGCAGGGGGGTTGGAACTGGATGAGCTTTAAGGTCCCTTCCAACCCAAACCATTCTATGATTCTATGATAAGAACAGGGTTTCTTTTTTGAACTCTGTTTTAAAACCACTTACCAGGTTTAACAGCATGTCCACGCAACTGGGGCTGCAGCAGCATTTGCAACATTGCTGGATTATTAAAACTTTTCATAATCTGCACTGGATTTGGTTCTGGAAGCAAGCCTTTCCTGTTGTTCCTCATCTCCAATTAAGAAAGATACAAAAATGTTAGAATCAAGAGTAAACAAAGAATAACATTTAAATTCCTCAAACTTGTGTGATGGTAAGGTACATATTTCATTTTACAGAGGAAAATAATCCAAATATTTCCTTCCCTGTTTCCCACTCCTTTCCATGCTCCTTCAGCATAAGGAACAGGTTGCCCAGAGAAGCTGTGGCTGCTCCTCCCTGGAAGTGTTGAAGGCCAGGTTGGATGAGGCTTTGAGCAACCTGGTCTAGTGGAAGGTGTCCCTGCTGCTGGCAGGGGGGTTGGGACTGGATGAGCTTTAAGGTCCTTTCCAACCCAAACCACTCTGGGATTCTATGAAACACCTTATTCTCCCAAAAACATCACATCTCCTTTTTTCCCCTTAAACCAAGACAGTGTTAGCAATAAAGGAGGATATGAAAGGCACTGTGAACTTGAACACCACATGCTATCTTGTAAGAGCTCCGCTCATCTCTTTTATAAAGACGTGGGCTAAAGCTAGCTGAAGTAATGAGACTGTTCTGCTTCTACTTTTGAGACAGCTTCATGTAGCGCTTATCACATCCAATTTTCTAGGAAATAATTTGATAAGACATGTGGGTGTAAAAAGCTTTCTTCTATATCAAGCATGAAATTAAACTATTTCTCCTACCTTGAAATTTATCTTAAAATTGACAAATTCTTGCCTCTCAGTTTTAAACCAAGTTTTAGCTTGTCAAATGACTCCACTAACAGTTACTTTTGTTCTGAACTGGAACAATTTCTCATGCTGAAAATTAAATTTGCTAAAATGCCAGAGATACTGGCAGGAGGATTGGACTAGATGATCTCTTGAGGTCCCTTCCAATCCCTAATATTCTGTGATACCCAAGTATAAATTTGAGGTATCTTATGGCCATATTTTACCCTTCCTCCTTGTAGAACATGGCCACGCTTTTCCTAGGAAGGAGATTGGATTGGGATGAGTAGGTTAAAAATAATAATAATAATTTTTTAAAAGGCTAAAGCTTCCCAAAGTTTGGCTCATTTTCCTAACACAAAGGAGCTGAATCCCTCTGACTCAACTCAGGCTGCTTGAGGTGCCTCAAAATCATTCAGAAAACTGATTTGCAATTATCTTACCATCCTCTGTGCTGCTATAAGTGCTGCTAATGTGCTTCTGCCCGGCGCTCCCGGAGCACAGTACGACACCTGGACTCTCTTTCCTTTGATGGTGATGCCATCGGTGACTTCTTGGACTTGTTCAGCTTGCTCTGCAGTTTCATACTCAACCACCGCAAAGTCACCAATACAACTGTCTTCATCCTGAGCAAACTGAAACAACAGTTCACACCACACTGAACAACATGCAGAACCGCAGGAACTGCCTTGCAGTATTTTCACCTATCCCTTGCAAAATACCTCACAAAGAACTGACATCCTACGTTAACATCTACCCAAATCAGTATGTTTCTTCCTCAAACGTCCTAGATATAAGTTGAGTATCATAACTTCATATTAAATTTGGCATGTATGCTCTATCTACTTGATTTACCACCTTCACTTCAATCTAATCTCATGGAGAACCCGAGTTATGAAACTACCACATATTTTTCAGAATAAAGAAGGAACGAGAAGGAAATTGCAAATACAGCTGTATGCTACAATAATTTTTATTTTTATTTTGCAGGATAAGAATTATAAACTCATTACTGTTCAGTTTTTAAGCCTACAATAATAAAAATGTCATTCATCAGACTACATGATAGTTGTTGAAACATGTAACAATGCAAATTCCACTGATGTATACTCCCTTTTAGGAGAATATGAAGTCTGTGGTTGTATTTAATGCCAAGAGAAGATGCCAGACTGATCAATCAAGCAGACTGGAAACAGGCTTACGTGTCAAACAATGCTCTGTCCTTTGTTTGCAGAGTTTTATAGTAGAATGAGCAGATTTAAATCAAACAAAAAAAAGGGGTGAGACAGGAGGGAATAAAGCTTAGGCAAAAATCTCCAGTCCCAAAATGAACAGAAATGATATACTGATACTCGCTCTGATGTGGAAGAGAGGAAATCTCTAGATTTCACTGGATAAAAACAACTATTATGTCCCACAAACTTCCACTAACAACTGAAATATAAAATCTCAAAAGATTTTGAAGAAAAAGAAGGTGGTCAGATCTTTAACACCACTGTTAAAGAGCCTTTGGGAAGAGCTCTGGAGAACACCCATATTTTGATATATAAATTCACACAGATATGTATATGTTATGTATATATTTGTGTGTGTGTCTGTCTATGCGGAGAAGCATTATGTTTTATTTTGACATCAGTTTAGCTGCACTGGGAAAGACCTGAAGTACTCATGGTTTGCAGCTATGGAACATATTGTAGTTCCATGCACAGTTAAAAACTCCCTTAACACGTAGAAAGTGCAGCTTCTTGCAAACAGAGCAGGAATTCTTAAACAACCCAAGTAAAAAGGTACTGAAGAAAAGCCCTCTGACCCTATCTAGGTAACAGGGGAGACCTAGGGACAATTTAAAGGTGATATAAGAAAGGAATGAGGTTTTCTGGTCCACTTTGTTGAAACAAAGGACAAAATATGTTCCTGTAAGTGGTAGGAAATGCCATTTTTGTAAGTTCCATGTATAAGTATCTGGTTTCAGCTCTTCCTGACAAAACATTTCTACTGTCAACAAAGGAGAAATCAAACTGATTTCAAAAAATGGTAACTTTGGGGAAAAATATATGAAATAAACCAGAGTTTCATGAGTTCAGCTAAGAATTTTAGGTAAAAGATCATTTTTACATGATGAAATAAGGCATCAGTTACCCGCAAGACTAAGCCATGAAAGCAGCACAAGACAAAATGGTCACAGTGACCCTTTTGGAGGGACTATCTGAGTGCAGGAGTGGAGTGAAGACTGGACTGGCCAAGACTAGGAAATGGAAGGAAGAGAGAGACTGTAGCCATGCAGATATAAAATATCAAGAGTGTGAATTTAATTGTTTTTCTGCAATGTATTCATTCCTCCAGTTGTTGTTTCCAGGCAAAGTGCTCCTCCTAGTCATTCTCTATTGAAATTCCCTCCCTGCCCAGGTTTCTGCTGCTCTATCCTCTGTTTTTCTTTTATGTCTCTACCCATCACATCAGACCCCACTTTTTCCACGGTTTCTTGTGTCTTCCTCCCTTTCTTTTCTTTGTACTTAATTTTTAGGTCAAGTCACTCATAAAATCGTAATTAATTAGGACCATTGTGCTGGGAATTTATCCACAAATTTAAAATAAATTTATCCATTTATTTTTATTTATGTCTTCCCTTTTTTATCTATCAAATCTGAACTCCTTGTTTACCTACCTCCACCCTCACCCCTTCCCTCTCCAGAGGGATGCCCACCCTGTTAGCCCACGGGGTTCACCTCCATCACCCACCCATTATATCTGCAAACCAGCACCTCTGCTGCTTCTCCCCACCACCCCTCGAGGCAGAGCCTCCTCTACCAGTCAGTACCTGTTGGATGCCCACTGGAAACATGAGGCATGACTGAGAATAAATCACTTCTTTATTCTCTTGAGAATCACCCAGAATAAATCATAAGGTATCATAAGTAAACCTATTTTTCTTCTATTCTCATACTTCCACAATCTATTAGTCTATTACACAACGTGTTTATACAAGTGATAGGTAAAATGAGAATTTTCTTGGATATATTTTTGACTGGGTGCCTATTTTCTAATTCAAAAGCACACTGTTTAATTCTTGTATTCTACAAAAAAACATATATTTAGTATCTTTTACTGCATACACAGACCCTCCTCACCTACACCAGGTGAGACTCATGTATCATTACGATTTAAAAAGGAAGGTAGAAGTCAATTTTTAAGTGCACAGTAGGATACTGTTAGTGAAAATCATCAAAGCAGCCTGTTATCCTTTGAACTTCAGAATTTTTCAAGAATGTTGAAAAATTGCTGGGGGAGCTGATAACAGCCTCTGGATTATGTGACAGCTGGAAAAACACCCTGAAGTAAGAGACTTTACAAGATCAATCTCTTCAGCTAATTAGATAAAGACTGAACAAGTGACTTGATTACAGCATTTAATACCTTCTTACAGGAAGAAAATGGTGGGGAGCAAAGGCTCCTCTATCTTGTCATCAGTGAGGTGAAGCTGAAGCCAGGCACATTCGACTAAGAAAACAGACACAAGTGCAAAATAAAAAGGGACAGGCAGTTTCTGGAAAAAGTCACTTCCAATTTAGGCATTTCCTGGTGTATTTGGATCAAGCAAGTATAAGGATTTACTTTATTCAACTCTGAATCACTGGGGCTGGAAAAGAGCGCTAGGGAAAATGTGATGGCCTGCAGGTGGTTGGACTAGACAGCCTGATGGACCTTTTGGTCTCCAATGCTGAAAAACTCTGGTTACTTATCCCTGAAGATAATCCTTGGGCAGCCTTCTGAGATACTTAAGAAAAAAAACAAACAACTGAAATCATACCCAACTGTGTGACTATAAAACAAGCTTTCTTTCTGCACCACTTCCGTGAGCAATGTTTTATTTGTGCTCTAGTATCTCATAAGCCATGAAAATGTGTCCAGTTTCGGAGCCCCCAACAAAAGAAAGACATGGACCAGTTAGAACAAGTCCAGAGGAGGCCACCAGGATGATGCGAGGGCTGGAGCAGCTCTGCTGTGAGGACAGGCTGAGAGAGTTGGGGCTGTTCAGCCTGGAGAAGAGAAGGCTCCGGGGAGGTCTTCTAGTGGCCTCCCAGTACCTGAAGGGGCTACAAGAAAGCTGGGGAGGGACTTTTCATAAGGGCAACTAATGACAAAACAAGGGGAAATGGGTTTAAACTGAAAGAGGGGAGGTTTAGATTAGATATTAGGAAGAAGTTCTTCACTGTGAGGGTGGTCAGACACTGGAACAGGTTGCCCAGAGAAGCTGTGGCTGCTCCTCCCTGGAAGTGTTCTCGGCCAGGTTGGATGAGGCTTTGAGCAACCTGGTCTAGTGGAAGGTGTCCCTGCTGATGGCAGGGGGGTTGGAACTGGATGAGCTTTAAGATCCCTTCCAACCCAAACCATTCTATGATTCTATGAAGATGAGAAGGAAACCTTTACACTTGCAAAGGCTGGTAAGGATCTACCTCTTCTGTACCTGCAAGCTTTCCAAAGGAGGTACCACTTCTATCACTGGCAAGCCCAGTGATTATGAGATCCCAAGTTTACATCTTCTCCAGTTAGGAGATATTTGCAGAGATTTCTTAAATATATTAATTATATTCATATATACATATATTCTCCATCATCTAAACTGTGGTATTCAATATATATATATACTTGTGGTATTCAATACACTCTGGTTTTCTTTACTGAGCAATAAAACCATCAGCAACATTTACTTTAAAAGCTCTCTAAACTATTCCTACATTTATTTGCCATAAAATACATGAGGAGGGGATGTCTTATAAATATTTTATTGGGACTTCATGAGAATGGTCTCCTGCAGAATTCCCAGATGACATCAGCCAATCATTGCAAACCCAGAGCAATAAAGCATCTGTACCACATGACATATCGCAATGCAGATGCACAACCAGTCGTTAATCAAATGAAAATTAAAAGGATAAGACAACAAGCAGTGAAGATGCAAATACAGAACTACTTAAATCACGACCATCATCTTCCAAAACACACAAATTCAACATACCTGGCAGAAAATAGGTTTATACTTTAGTGAGAAAGCTTGGATCAGTTCTTTTGAATCAGCGGAGTCTTTTTGAAATTTATCTACACAAAGGCACTTGGAGTGAATAAGATTTGTCGTCAGCTGGTTGACATCCATCCACTGTGCAAAGAGAGTGCTCTCATCTAACTGTTTCCCTAGAAGTTCCAGTCTGGCCTTGGCAGCAGAGTCCTTCTTCATGTATTCCACAAAGCCATAGCCCTTCGAATGGCCAGTGGCTTCGTTATAGACCAAAAAACACCTCTCGACGTTGCCGTACGCACGCACAAGTTCCTCAAACTCCTCCAACGTCAAGGACACGGGTAAGTTGGTAACGCAGAGCAGAGCGTCTGTGGGTTGGAGCTGCACGGATATCTCTTTTCCCCGAAGAGAATACTGGTGAAATTTCCTAATTGCATTTTGAGCTTGATCTCCATTCAACAGAGTAACGAACGCTGTAAGAAACCAAAACAGGTTACATCACCGACCACAGCTTCTCTCTCCAGCTACAGAGGTAATTCCTGTACCTCTCCCCTGCCTCCCAAAATCCAAAACATTGGTTTTACTCAGGAGAATTTTAGAAGATCTAATTGGAAACATCTAACAGAGCTCTACAAAATTCCTATTACGTCCATTAAATTAAAAAGTCATTAAATCTATCTAATAAAAAAATTCATAAGTATAAGTCACAGGAAAAATAAAGAGTTTGGGATTTACCCAGAAGATACAACAGAGAGATGTGCTGTAAGGTATATTTTAAAGTTTCTGGACATCATGTGTAATTAACTCGAAGAGTGATTCTGTGAAACACAGACACACACAACCTCACTACTTGCAAAACAACAAAATTTGCTCCAGAGGGCTGGAGCAGCTCTGCTGTGAGGACAGGCTGAGAGAGCTGGGGCTGTTCAGCCTGGAGAAGAGAAGGCTCCAGGGAGACCTTCTAGCGGCCTCCCAGTACCTGAAGGGGCTCCAGGAAGGGCGGGGAGGGACTTTTTATAAGGGCAGGGAGTGACAAAACAAGGGAAAATGCCTTTAAACTGGGAAAGGGAAAGCTTAGATTAGATATGAGGAAGAAATTCTTTGGTGTGAGGGTGGTGAGACTCTGGAACAGGTTGCCCAAGGAAGCTGTGGCTGCTCCTCCCTGGAAGTGTTGAAGGCCAGGCTGGATGAGGCTTTGAGCAACCTGGTCTAGTGGAAGGTGTCCCTGCTGATGGCAGGGGGGTTGGAACTGGATGAGCTTTAAGGTCCCTTCCAACCCAAACCAGTCTGGGATTCTAAGTCTCACTCTTCATGCAGAAATACCCTCAGCATTGCCAGCCACTCGTGGACACAGGGTTGGGCACTGGGACACGTCTTCAATGCAAAAGGTGAGAAAGATCACCTGCAGAAAACTCAGCAAGTGTCTTTCTTCCAGAACAGCCTTCAAACCTCCAAATCTCATCAGCAAGTACCACACAAATCTTTAAGAAAAGGGCAGTGGATAGGACAGGCTGTTTCTCATTCTCTTTTAACTTTGCTGAGCTGCTCATCTTTATATTGATCCCAGAGCTACTTCACTTCCTTCCCCACCACTACCAGCAGAAGTTTTGTGCAGCCGTGGACAAAGGACAAAGAATCTTTACCAGTTCATCTTCTTGGAGCCAGCCAGAAAATGTTAACTTTTTCTTTTACATGTTAATAATCATTAGTTACAACAGTCTAAATGAGGATGTGTAATTAAAACCTGAACATCCACAGGGTGTTTTAAAGCAAGTTCTGGTCTGTGTCTATCTCATAGCAGTTTATAAAGCAAACAAAAAGAAGCAAGTATAATCCTGGTGTCATACACATAATATTTGAGATATCAGTTTTGCTGTTCCAGTCAAATTTAATGTTGTTATGCATCCTGTAAACAATTTGTTTGTACTAACGTACACACAACGCCTCTGCAGCGGGTTTTACAACCTGTCACCACCAAAGAGATGGATCATTCATCAGATAAAGATGAGATGGTGTGGAAATCTGCAATCTGGTTCTAAAACAGATTAAAATGTGCCTGGGTAATCTATATTATTTCACTCTCCAGTATTCTGACACAGCTTCACATATTTCTTTAACAGGATACTATTTAGTATTCTCAGAATAGTTACACAGAAGATATGGATGAAGTGATTTTTTAAGAAGTGTCACCTTTTTTACAAGAAAAATGATTCTTTTTTCCCCCCAATGTTTTGAGGTCGCTTAAGGCTACTTCCCTGAGTTTATCATCAATCTTCAATTAGTTTATGTAATCAAGTGAAAACACTGGTTTTACTCAGGGGAATTTTAGAAGATCTAATTGGAAACATCTAACAGAGCTCTACAAAATTCCTATTATGTCCATTAAACTAAAAAGTCATTCAATCTATCTAATAAAAAAATAAAAGCAAACAAACAAACAAAATAATTGAGGTCCTTACAGAAATAGTTTGCACTACAGTATGTTGATCCATCTTTTGGGTGGATGACTGTTCTGTTGTGTAAGTACTTACCTGGACAAGACAGAATAAATACAACTAAACACCCACAGACACAGTCAAAACCATTAGCAGAAATCTGGCTTTTTGCACAGCAAAAGTTACTAATACCAAAAATAATCTGCAATATAAAGAACATGAGTAGGAAGAGATTAGAGGCTTCAGAACTTTGCTGATTGTATAGTAACATGTTAAGATTCTGTGACATTAGGGCCTCCAAACACAGTTTTAAAGCCTTCATGAATATGGAGATCAAGTAATTTAATTTATCCAAATGAGAAGTCAAGAAAAAAATAAACTACCCATTTTCAGTCATGAAAATTTGCAGAAACATGCAATAAAACATACAAAAATTCACATGTATAGTCAAATTATTATATATATCTACGTATACACAGACACACATATGTAAAAAAACTAATAAAAACTAGTAAGTTTTTTTACACACAGTAAAAAACTAGTTATATATAAAAACACATAGATTAAAAGAAAAAAATCATCCTTCTCTTACTCTTTCCAAGTATTTTCAAATATTTCCCACCACACTGAGCACAGAAGTTCCATCTGTTGTTAGAGAGCAGACTACAGTACCTGACACACAAACTGGCCTTATTTCATATTCAGAAATCAAATTTGCAAGATAATGGGACAGTAAAGCACAAATTTTTGCTCCTTAGAGGCACGTGTCAAGAAACATCATTATCCTCACAAAATCCTGACATCAATCTATCACAGCTACCGCATGAAGATTTTGTCCTGAAAACCAAGGTTGCCTCAGGAGATAGCCCAGGCTACGGGATCTGGGGCGATCTGGAAGGACAGGAACATGTAGAGAAATATTTGTCTATTTCTGTACCTCCCAAGTGCTAAAAATCCACGAATCCCCTATTTAGAGAATTCATTTGTGAATGGAAGATCAGACTTAAATAATTCAGGATTTAATTCAGAACATTTCCTTCAAAGACTTAAGTATTCCTTTGATAAATTGCTTCTGGCTTATTTTACCTGACACAAACTCATCTGGAGCTCGGTACATTTTCCTCTGGTTGTGTCCCAGGCACGTGTGGTTTGTCCCAAGAGAGGCCTCAGGACCAGTTTTTCAAAGGAAATCAGTCAGTTGAGGTTAGCTTTGTCCCAAAGAGACATCACTAAGGGAATGCACCTGAGAGGTGCCACAGTGGACCAACCTATTTCTGGCTGACATGAGTAGAGTTTCCAACTCTCCACTGGCTTCAGTAGAAGGCGACAAACTATGAGGTGACAAACTGACCTTTGTGGTGACCTTCTACCTTCAGTAGAAGGTGACAAACAGTGGCAGCGAAAGAAGCCACTGAGGGACAACCAAGCTATGTGACAGCAGAGATTTGTTGACTTCATACAAGGCAGATGATGCTCCTCACTAGTTTCATCACAGAATTGAAATTTAGGACACTGGAAGATTTTAAATTCTTACCTGTTCTTTTATTTCTGTCCACATAACAATACTTGATTTCATAATCTTTAAATAAGTCATGGATTTCCTGAAAGAAAAAAAAGTACAAATAATATCAGATAAATAATTCACCATACCAAATAAGTACATAAATTCATCTTCATTTAAAAAAAATCAACAACCAAAAAACCTTCCCAAGAAACAGAACATCTCAGCATAGAAACACTTTCAAATATTTGTTTTTAAAGGAGCTGCTTATACTACTGAAGCAATGTTTTTATCTCATATAAAAAATTGGCTTACTGAATTTCATTAATTTACTTTTCATTATATAAAGTCACATAAACACAACAGGGTGTCCTGTTGACTGTCTTTCGATAAAGACGAACAACATCACAGTTCATTAAATAGCAAAACCCCCACAATTTCTCTGAAGCACAGCTAGCATAGTTAAAATGCCACAGAGGGAAGAAATACTGGCAACATCACATCACGCAGTTTACTGAGGGCAGGCAACGCTGCCATAAAATCCAACAGTTGCTTTAGTTTCCTGTAACTGCTCAAGTTCACTTTAGCAGATTTTTCACTCTTTTAATAATGAATATTCTTTTAACCAGCAGACAATTGAGCTCCGAATACCCCCTGGAAAGTATCCTCTATCAATTACTGCACAGATGCTCAACAAAGAATCAATCCCAAGAGCGTTATTTGCTCCCACTAATTAATGGGGAGAGGAGCAGGCGTAAAAGGTACCAGTGTAAGCACGTGCCCCACAAAAACCACAAACCATTACCAATTGGGTGGTGAGAATGCAGAGATGAACATTAATCATCTCCAAGAAGAAACCACGAGCAGTAACCTGGATCTGTGTTTTCTTTGTGTTGAATAAATCCCATACACAATAGCAAAAGACCATTTGCAAAATAATCAACCCACTTGGAAAGTTGAATTTCCAGTAGCCCAGTCTACTTGCCAGTTTGCTAATTTAATATATATATATAGCCTGGAGGTTAATTGGGTTCTCTGTGACTGGTATCAGGTGCCTACCTTTTAGTCAAGCAAACACCAATCTCCAGTTTCAATAGTTAACAGCTGTCAAATACTACATTAATAAAATATGGCAGCGTTTCTCCAGCTACCAGCCACCCTCTAATCAGATGTGATAAGGATGTGGTTTCTGAAAAGCAAAATACACCAGGCACAATGCAAAGATTCAAGTCAAGCAGATGATTTGACTGTGGACATCTCTCTAATGAGAATTAAGACAGTAGTTCACCCTCAGTCAGGAGAGGCTGAGAAGACACTTTGTGCACAGTTTTGTACGGTTCAGCTATATTGAGGCACTGAAGACCCTAAAGAAGTTATTGCTGCCCTCCATTTACAAAAACATGGCCATATTTACCTTTTTTATATCCTATACTATTTTACAAGAGTAACACTGGAAGTTTTATATGATGATTAAGTAGCAGGAAATATTCTTTCAATCATCTCTGAACATGCTTTTGAAAGTCGTCTGTGAATCAGGTGATTCCACATGATTTCCCAGTAACTGTTTTGCAAGTTGAACTGGGAGGGAAAATAGCCTGTAGTGAACGTATCTTCATGGGATAATCATGAGGTCTCATGTAAAAAAATTATGAGAACATAAGGAAGATTGAAAATTAAAACCTAATCTAAGCAAAGTAATTTTTGTAAAGATTTTAACATTGATTTCCACAGGTTGTTGCAAACAGCGCCAGGTTTGTGCTGCGGGAAGGTGCTTGTTTTTGTGCTCTCACAGCCCCCATGGCCAAGACCTTTACTTACAGAACTGCGTTTGTGTAATAGTTCAGTGAAAGCATTTTTCACAATTTACAATTTGTAGCAATTTCACTGTTTGTGACAATTTACAAAAATAAAACATACTGTGCTGACACTGAGGCAAATGTATACTCCTTCAAATTAAACAGATAGGTAAATATATGTGTACATTAGACTAAGATTCTTCAGAATATTTTCAGAAGCCAGCTTTTGACCTCAGGCACTTCTCTAAACTTTACCTTCAAGACATTTCAACATTTAGGCCCGTTAGAAAAGAACAAACACTTCTACCATTTTAATGTTGTTAAGAGTTTCTATTCCCAACAGCTCAGAGCAGAACTGTCAGGGAAAGCAACAGGAACACTTGCCCCGCTGTTCCTAACCAGGTTCAGCCGTGCACCACCAAACACCCTGCACCAACAGCACTGGAGGCAGTTGGTCTCTTTGCTGTAAGCAGTTACTGGGTATTTGGGCCAGGAAGGAGTGTTTACTCCAGGAGGAGAAACGGGTCATCCAAGTCAGGTATATTCTCTGGTGCGACCCTGTCAACTTTCAAGGAATGTAAGCAGAGGGCTGTTTCCCTGAGCACAGCAGCAACAAACAGCCGCGGTTCATTCCCCGTTCCCGACCTCCCGCAGCCCGCTGGCTCGTGCACCCAGGGAACCAGCCACGCCAGTCCTCACCCCATGTCAGGACCCACCACCACCTCACACACCCCCACGGAGAAGCCGTCAGCCTCTACCCCAGGTTCTGCGGCAGGAAAATCCTCCACCCTCCCCAGGTCAGCCTCACCATGGCTCTGCTTTCTGCTGGGCAGCCACGCGAGAAAGGCGACGCCAGCACTCACCGTTTATCATAGAATCATAGAATAGATTGGGTTGGAAAAGACCTCCAAGATCATCAAGTCCAACCCCTGATCCAACTCCAATTACTATATCATGGCACTAAGGGCCACGTCCAGTCTCTTTTTAAAAACCTCCAGGGATGGTGAATCCACCACCTCTCTGGGCAGGCCGTTCCAGTG